CATTTAGAAAAAAGACTTCGATGGTTTGAAGGACAATAATAATGCAGCTCTAATAGGTCAGATAATTCAGCAGTGAAAAAGAACATCCTAGATATCGAAATAAACTGACAATTATCTTATTTGGATTTAAAATTTGAAAATATTTTTTTTTCTATTATTTGCGTGAAAATCCCATGAACCGACCATTTGTTGAGAAACAACATTACGATGATTGTTCAAAGATCAAATACTATAGAATTATCAAGTTTATAAGAAGATAATAATTCCAAGCAGTTACTTGTGCTAAAAAGATTAGCTAATTCAATGTAAAAACAGAATATAACTTTTCCGAGTAACGAAATAAATTGAAAATGATCTTAATTGAATTGAATATGAATTTAATGTTAAAAGATTTGTTTTGTTACTCGGAAATTCCATTAATCGAACATCTTTATCTGCCTTTTATTGAGCTTTCACTGAAATTGAACGGAGATCCTAAAAGTTATTAACAATAATACAATTTATGATACAGAAATTTATATGACTACAAAAAAAAAATTCCTTTTACGATAAATCAAGAGAATATAGTTTTAATATCGGAATTTAATCATCTTCAGCTTCGTTCTAATTTAATATTCGAAATGAATCAAATACGGATGAACAAATCATTAAATGTTAATGTCAGAAAATTTGTTTTACTCTTCGAACATTCCACTAATCGAACGCTTTTACTTCTCTGTTAGACTCTACTCTGTATTTCGTGGAATATTGCCACAACGATCGCTAAAAACGTCATATACCATGGAATTAAATGGGAGATGCGTGTTATAATGTACTCCGTGGTCCCTACTCAGTATTATATCAGTAATAATAATAATTGAATCGCACGCTCTTACTAGGTAACAATAATAACGGCTTTGTTACGCGTTCGCAAAATTGTAGTACACCGCAGATGAAGCAAAGCAAATTAGTACAGCGTAATGGACGAGGATCAACGAGCCGCATCAATGCTGTTATTTACGCAGTCACTCTAGTTTCAGTTCGTTCACTCTAGTTCAGTTTTGTTGAAACAGTTCGTCAAACTGTTAATTCCGATTGACGTCTTGTTTCTTTGAAGGTTGTTTCGTAGAACACGGTTAAATAAATGGCTAAATGTTGCTCACTCGACGAACAACGATTCGCTTTGTCTTTTACTTTTTGTTTGTAAAAAGTGCTAAAAATAAATGGAATCGGGTATCGAATATTAGACGATTCTATTTGAAAGAACGCATGAAACATTTATAAAAATGACATAAATCCCTCGGAATAATTGACACGTACTAAAATGAATCATTCAAATTCAAATGATGAAAATTGAAATGAATGAATTCAATAAATCTGTAGAATCACGCCTCTGCCTAGACAGAAATTTATATTAATTTTGACAAAAATACTGGCAGTAATTTTTCGATGTAATTACTTATACTTAGCTTTCGACCTTGAATTCATCGTCGAAAAAATTAGAAATTCGTCGAAAATCAATGTCTCGAGGCAACGAGCTGGTTGCCTGCTCACGCGCCTTTATTACTCGGTAGAAGTCAAACACCATCGTCGAACGAACTTTCGCAATTTACGTGTCGGACAGAGAGTGGAGAAGCAAAATCGAGTGGATCCTATCGATCTGCGTACGATCGCGCGATTGAGGACGGTGTTGCGGCGAGAGCAGCGACGTCGTCGTGCAGCCGTATATCAGTCGGAGGAAATTACAGCTGCGTCTAATTGCGTTAATCGATTAAACAGCGGAATAATACTTTTGACTAATTATGAACCTGCGCGTGTACGTGAAAGCGGAGACAAATTAGCGAGATTCCAATTTCCGCGCCTTGGCGTCTTCGCTGAGAGTAGCTTTTCCTGCGAAAATAGCAAGAGAGAGAAAGAGAAAGAGAATAGTTTTGAGGAGGTCGTGAATTCGCTAATGAAATCGTCGTGGTACGTTCAAATGCTGCTTCGCAGAACCCTTTGCAGACTGATTTTTTATAGGGTGTTTTCTACTTTTCCGGCCAAACTGTAGGAACAAATGAGAATTACATTTTATGTTAGCTAGTCTTTTTTTTTTTTTTACGTGAAGGAAATCTTCATAAGACACCTTAGTCTTTTTAAGGGAAGATCCAGGTAGTGTCGGATTCTTACCGACTAAAACCTCCTCCACGATGACTGTCCTCTCTCCGCACGTTGGGAGAGCTCTGGGAGGAGCCTTTTTTATACACACAGAGCTCTCCTATTGTCTTTTTTTTTCCGTCCAAACAGAGGCGCTCGAACCCTAGACCCTCAGATTAAGAGTCTGATGCTTTACCGACTGAGCTATCCTCGCCTCTATGTTAGTGGCCAAGCTTTGACACATTCTTTTTTTTTTTTT